CTCTCGAGTTTTCAAATATTTTTTAGCTAAAATTCTTAGCATTTTCAGCTGAAGGCTCTTTTCAGTGCACCTGGCGCTACCTAGTCCTCTCTCTGTCGCTCCCTCTCTCTCACTCACTCCCGCTGGCTGTCGCGTCAAATGTCGCGCCGAAAATTATACCTCTGGAAAAAATGGCAAATAACAGTGTACACAAGTCCAACATTCTCTACAACCTGCTCCTTACTCTGCCCCTCTTTCACTCACTCGCTCTCTCTCTCTCTCTCTCTCTCTGATTCATTGTGTGCTGGCCAGCCAAACAACTTGGCCATTTTTTCCGGCTTTTCTTCACGTTGACGTTGTGAATGTCGCTGTTGTAGTTGTCGCTGCTGCTGCTACTGCCGCTGTTGTTGTTGTATATGCAACCACGCCCACCGCAGTCGCCCCATTGACTGCCCGCTTGGCTGGCTTTTTCACTGCCTCGTTTTATGTATTCAGTCTCAGTGCGCTCACTTGACTTTAATTCTTTTTTCACACGCCCACTTCGCGGCCGGCTGGTAAGAGTGCGGTAGGAAGGGGAGGGCAAGAGGTATGCGAAGAGTGAGTGAGACAGAGGGCGGCCAGAAGGTGACTCAGGTGCATGGCAAGTGCAATTTTCTAACGGCTCTTAAGTTGTGCCACCGCAACAGCAACAACAACAGCAACAACAGAAACAACAACCCAACAAATCCGTGTGGCAGGCACTACAACTTCAACAAGTAAGGGAGCTTAAGTCAGCAAGTGCTCGACTAGAAAATACCCTACAGCAAAAGCTTTAGTTCTAAGGCATGAATTAACTCTAAATAAAATAGGCATATCAAAGCTGAAGAAGCATGTTAGTGCATAATTAGTTATTCCTTCCATTCATCAACATCCGAATCCATATTTCTCTAGACTCACAGCCTACAGGGTATATAACAACACGCTCGCTCGGCTCTGCACTCGCAATCGCAATCGCAGTGGCATTCGCATTCAGATGAGCATGTCAGTCGAAAGGTGCGCCAAGCTTCCTTCCTATTTCTGCCGCTCCCCCCGCCCCACACCCACTTCAACTACTCTGTGTGACTCTATCTGCTCCTCCGCCTGCTCCCTTGCTGCTCCACTCCACTGGCATTCGGTTGTAATTGCTGAACATGCCAAGTTTTGTGCAATTTTATGTAGATTTAATAGCTTCCTCCTGGCGGATTTTCTCGTTTCGTACTTGTCTCACATTTCATTGCTTGCGTGACATTTCATTTCGCTCAGATTTGAGATATATGCATATGCATATAGTATATATATACTACACCCATTACTCGAATACTGAATTACAAATTCTCGCTCTTGTAATTGCTCGGTCAAGATAGTCCAGTCAGTCGGCTCTGACTTTAATTGATTTGGAAAGGCGAGGCTCGCGTGGCCAACAAACTTCGCTCCATTGCAGCGGAAAACTTTGTTGCTTTCGCGAACGCGACCGAAAAACTTCCGCCACTCGACTTATCGGCCATTCCAATCGACTGACATGTTAATTGACAGACAGACAGACGAACAGTCAGGTAGTGCCGGACCGAAGCTATCCTTGGCTAAAACTTCGATTGATTGGCCACTTTTCTTTTATTTTCTGTTTTTTGTCGCCTTTTTGCTAAACTGCTGTCAGAAGTTAAGACAATATTTGTATTTGGTTCTCAATAGAACTGGCAGAAGAAGACAAATTATAAAAGTAAGCGGACATGTGCATTAAAAAAAAAATTCTTAATATAGTTAAAGTGTGAAACGCTAAAACCCATTGAAATTGCAGATAAATTGATGTTTCAAAATCAGAAAATAGATCAAAGCTGTATAATGAATTTATATTGAATATTTCTAGTTTTTTATTTTCTTTTAAAAATTTATATTTAAAGAAGAAAATATGTTGAATTTTATAATAAATATTAAAAACTTTTTAAATAAAAAAAATAAAAAAAACAAATATTATTAATAAAAAAAATATTTAATAAATTCATTTAATAAAAAAGTGTAAATATATAAATAAATATTAATTTTTGTCATAATAATAATTATAATAATTCATAATTTAAAATGATTTCTAAGCACTTAAAGTCAACTCGTTTATTCTTCAATCTCGCTTTTCACTTTCGCTCGTTGCCTTACACATTTTCATTAAAATTATGCATTCATTTAGTTTTCTAGAACTTTCTAGTTCAATAAAAAGAAAAGTTGACTCGACTTGGCGAACTGCTTATAAATCAAGTGGAAAATGTGATTGCAATAATTGAATACTTGAAGAAAATGCTTTTCCACTTATGCATATTAATTGACTATTCAAATAGTGAAATGGTCCATTCAAGAGATTAAAGGAAAAACGAAAGCTGCTATGAAATAAAGAAATATTTGCACTTTTCTTTTAAGCATTTAGGAAAAATATTTCGAGAATCAAAATAAGGTAAAATCATTTTAGTTTGAATAATCTTTTTTGATAGAGAAATATATTTTGTTTGCTCAACATTTGAATACATGAGCGCATATTTATTTCTATTTAACTTTTCACTTAAGCTTTATTTTATGTGCTATTCCACCAAGCTAAGAAATCTATCTATTTAATAAATTTTTTATAAATGACCAATAAGAAAATTTAAATTTCCTAGCTTCATATCTGTATATATATATATATATATATATATATATATATATATATATATATATATATATATATATATATATATATATATATATATATATATATATATATATTTATTTTTTTTTTTTGCACTTAAATAAATCAAATACCATAAATAAATATTTTTTCCTTAGTTTTAAAGCTGTTCACCCCTCCTCCACCCAAACAAAAATATATGTTTTCTTTGAAGTTTTATGAAAGTATTCTGAAAATGAATTATAGCTTTAAATTTATTTCCACTTTTCACTTTGAGCTTTTGTAATGTTTTACAAACTATATTCTGCTTGGTTGAGCTAAAAACTAAATTGCTTGATTTTTAGAAATTCCTTTTGCAGCTTATTATATTTCTCTATCTATATAAAATGTTCCCTCTAACTCTATATCCATCTCTCGTTTTCTCTCTCCCTCTCTCTCTCTCTAGTGCTGCCTAAATTGGCATAAAATTTGCTGCTGCAGCTGCTTTTAATGTATCTGTCAGATACTTTGGCACACATTTTGCATTTTATTTGTAATTGCTCGCAATTCACCGCAACGCAAGAGGCGGACGTTGGGGCGAAGGAAATGTGGCGCTCTGGCTGAGCTGAAGAGATGGAGTCGCATTCAGCAAAGCAAATACGCAAAAACAACAGCTAAAGCGGAATACTGGGCGAAGGCGGGGGCGGGGCGGGGAAAAGGCGAGCCTGACAAGAGGGCATGCTTCTTAGTGAAGCACACTAAAAGCAGCTGCCAAGAATTGTCGCGACTTTTCATCATGGAGGGCGTTGTGGGCGTGCCCATTTGCCCAGCAAATAGACGTTGCGGCTGCATTTGCATTTCCAATTGGAGCTGCAATTGGAGATCTAGTTGGAATCTATGTATATACATATATATGTACATATATATTCCAGCTTTCGCTTTCATTTCAATTGTAAATATATAACTAAAGTAATTTAGTTAGTGTGCGTGTAAGCACAGTGAATGCGCGCTAAAGTGAACATTAATATAAATAATAGGGGTATAAATAAAATGAAGAGAAATTTAGTGAAATTGAATGTTGCTTTAACAAAATAAAAAAAAACAAAATAAAAAATATTTATAAAAGTCAAAATAAAAATACAAATAAAAAATGTCATTTATAAATGTTAATATTCCATTAATTATTTTATATTTCAAATCCATTTTTTCACTAAGAAAGTAACTTGTTCGTAAAAAAAAATTGAATATATTGTATAAATATTTAATAATAATAGCATAAATAAATATATAGATTTTTATTTTTTATTTTTTTTTATTTTATTATTATTATTTTAATATATATATTTTTATAGTCATATATAAAATATGTTTATAAAGTTTTTAGTTATTTTTGCACTGAATAAAAAAATTCACAGCTTTAAGTCCTTCAGAAAATTAAAGCAAGCTTAGTATTTTTTAGGTAGCTGCAATCACATTTATTTTTTATTGTTCTGTGTATATAATGTAGAACAGAATATATCACAACATTCCCCAAAAACAAAGCTAAGCTACATCTGACAATTTGACATTAAGCTGTTCCTTAATAAAGTTGCCACTGTATTTGTGTAGCTGCCGCCACTGTTGTTGTAGCTTCTGCTTATGCTTTTTATTTGCAAACGGCTAAGCACAGAATCTCTATCTCTCCCTCTCTCTCTGTGTATACGTGTGTGTTTGTGAGGGGGTCTGGGTTGTTGTTGTTGAGAGGCAAACAGTTTGGTCTGCTCTGCTCTGCTGTTTGTCTTTGCGGTTGTAAATGCATTTTTCAAACAAATTGCAAATCATTGCCTAACAATAGTTTCAGCTCCGGCGAGAAGAAGAAGCAGAGCGAGAGATACAAGTCCGCCAATGCGAAGGCACTGATTCGAAAGCCCCGCTCTCTGGCCACGTCTGTGTGTGGCTTTTGAATCTGGAACCGCATTGACAGTGATTTAGTTTTTGGCTTGCAGCACACATTTCACACACGCAGTCTATTAGAAGCGAAAGCTTAATGCGGAATTTAAGGGTAATTTGTTAGTGCTGGGGCAGAAGAAACATTCACATTAAATTACATTTAGGTTCTATTTCCGTTTTTATTAGTATTTCTATTTCAGGAATTGTCAAATTAAACTGACTCAAAGTTAATTTGCAAAGAACTTTGACAAACACAATGAGCGCGCGCATAGCCGACAGCCATTTCCCAAGAATTTCGCCTTGTTTACTTTGATGTAGCAGAGAGACTAGCGCGCTCCATAAAGCTATATAAAGTTCATCTTTTTCATATTATTTGCTCAACCATTGACCCACAAAATGCGTCAGAAAGTAGGCTGCAGCAAAATTATATTTAACTTGCACTTACTTGGCGCTATTCTCTTTGTAGGCGAGTGTAAATATATATCTATATATATATTATTTTATATTTAATGTATAAAGTATTGTGTTTATTTGCACTTGCACTTGTATTTGGCACAAACACTTTAAAGTTGAATAAACTTGTTGCACAGTGTGGCACAAACGACTTAAGTCGCACGCTCTTTAGAGTATGCAACACTTTGTTTCTGGTTTTCGCCGTGATAAATGAGCAGAGTACCGTTATTTTGTAAACGCACACGCAGCTCCAGCACACGGAAACAACACTAACGCACACTGGGTGGGCTAAAAAATGTGGAGCAACACGTTGTTGACACAAAGACCGCCTAACGAAGACTAATGATAGCGCTTCTCATTCGCGTCTCATTCGTTTCGCCAAGACTCCAAAATTGGATATATCGCAATTGATACTTCTGCTGCTGCTGCTGCTGCTGTTCGCCCACGTTGCGTGCACGACGAGGGTTAAATACGAACTGATTGTCAGCCAGTGTCCAAGTGTTTGCCAGCCGTTCGTGCCGTACGAGCCGAGCAGCACACGAACGCACGAAGATGCAGCAGGCAGCAACAGTGAAATTAAGAGCACGACTGCGACGGGCAGCGGGCATAGAGAGCGCCTAAGCGCTGCCCACCCACCCCCGCTGAACAATTGAGCTATAATACGTTTCAATTCACACTGTCGCCTGCTCTTACATTTCGGTTTCGGTTTCAGTTTCCATATTCCACTTTCCACATTCCCGCTGTGCAGTGTTTCGGTTTCCTGTTGGTCCGTGCGCCTGCGCCAGCCACGTTCAGTTGCTCTTCGGCGCTGCGCTCTTCCATTCAATTGTTGAACGTTGCTTTCAATCAAAATCTGCAACTGCTGCACCGGCTTGCATTGAATGTGTCAAGTTGTGAGAGAACATTTTCGTTTCGTTTCATTCCGTTGCCATTCTGGGTCCGTCTGATGCTTTAAAGCAGTTGCTGAAACTTTGTATGTCTGCCCCATTGTTGTTGCGTGTTCGCATTGTTGTTGTTTGTTTCGCGCGCAACAGGTTCAGTTCCATTGTTTCCCCCCCGCAGCTCAACAGCACCGTTCCGTTGCCTTTGACGCACATTCGTCGTCTATGGCTTTTCATTGGCTTTTCTCGCAGGACTTTGGGTGGCTTCGTTTGGGCCACCCCTCACTCCCCAGCCACACAATCGCCGCTCGCCCACTTCTTGTGTATTTATATATTTATTTGCAGTTTTTGCTTGTTTATTTTTGTTTATTTTATTTTATTTTTTTTTTCTTGTATTCCTTTTATGCAAATAACAGCACAAAATCGTTTTCTGCACGCTTTGACTTTGACTTGAGAGTATGTGTGTGTGTGTGTGTGTCTGACTGCCTGTGTGTTTGTGTGTGTGTGTGAATTTGCATATAATTGTTTGCATGTTGAGTGCCTTTTAATTGATTTTATTGGCTTGCTACAATAACAACAACAACAACACCAACAACAGCAATGGCAACAAATTTCACCACAATTTCTCATTTTATCGCGTGAGCTATCTCTGTTGGCCAAGCTTATTTTATTTACTTGCCAGCAACCCAAATTTGATATAAATTTACAATTTATACGCCTCCTTATATGTGCACACACATACATACATATCGAACATAAATAAGTATGTATAAATTATGCAGCTTATGAGCTGCATGTTTAATGTAGGTCGTAAATTGTTCGCAGCTCACAAAATATATATAATGCATAAGTGAAAATCGATATTGTGGCTTAATGTGCTAAAAATCTGGCATTCGAGTCTTGAGCAGAGTATTAAGGGATTATGGGCAAGTGCATCGAGCGTGACTGAAGGCAAATTTCAAGACTAATTGCGGGATTATATTTTGTTGGGGGCATCGCACCTAGAGTTTATTGAAGAGACTGGACAATGCACCGGACTATAAACAACTATTAATGAGCTCTAAGTTTTGCTCAATTTTAAATTAATTTATCGCTAGAGTGCCGAGTAGTTGAAGAGATATCGAATTTCTACATATTTTAATTTCATAATAATATTGAAGGGGAATGCAAATAACTAGAAATATTGAATATTAATCTATTATTCACACAAATTATACAAATACATATATATAGAACAGTTCATCTTTCGAGGGATGTCAGGGAACTTTTCATTAAATCAGTTACTATAAATATATATTTACTAGTATACATATTATATGTGTACATATTTTATTGCATTGTCAATTTGAAATTTAATAAGCATTCAGTAAACCAAATCGCTCAATCTAAGCAAAAAATTATATTATATATTTATATATTAGAAATAATAATTAAGATTTGGGAAAATGTACTTTAAGTCAGGCTGGAGTCAGGCGTGAGTCTGGCAAAATCTAATCTGTGAAAATGCGAAAAGATTTTTCGACGAACTGCGTGAAACTAATTTAAAACAGCCGCCAACTGTAATTAGGCGCTAATGAGTTATGCCCCAAAAACAGGCCACAGCGAGAGTAGCCAAGGCAACGACCACAGGACAGCAGCACCGCAGCAGCCACAGAATTCTCGCTCTTCCTCTGGCCTTTAGCCTCTCCCTCTCTCTCTCGCTCTCTATTCAGGCAGTCGAAACTAGTTGAAATAAAAAAAAAAAGCTCCAACTTCAACTCGTAGCTGTAGTTGCTGCTAATCAAAAACTGCGATTCATTTGAATGGAAGCAGTTTGTCGCACTCCCTCTCTCCCTCTCTCTCTCTCTCTCTTTCTCTATGCCTGTCTGCCTGTTAGCGACAGCCTCTTCTCATGGGCGTGGCTGTCGGTGTCAATGTCCTGCTGCAAACGCATCTACTCTTGTTGCCAAAAGGTGATAATAATCAGACAGGCCGTTTTAACAAGAGAAACGCCCCACACAGCCCGCCCCCAGCCACACGACTTTATACGCCTGCTGGGTGGTCAGCATAGTAATCCATCTTTTGCCTTGACAATGGTTGCTCAGTGCCCAAAGCCTGCTAGGGTGAGGGCGTGGCAGCTAAGCACTAAAGCCACCGCCACAAACAAAAAATGAAACTAGATACAAATATCTTTGGCACTGAATGTGAAATGTATGCATGTGTGTGTGAGTATATGCATATGTGTGTGTGGCCTTTAGTGTAATTATGGTGGCATCCACAGGACATGTCGTTGACAAGCTCAAGTTGGGCCAGTGTCTCACTCATCTCTCGCTTACAGACAACACAACTTGCCTCACACACACACGGACACACACACACACACTCGCAGACACATATTAGTAAACCACCATAAAACACACGCAGTGCCACAACAGAGATTCGACCAGTGGGTGGGCCATAAAAGCGGATCCGCATGCGTCCAAGTTCGTAAAGTTGATTCATTCATGGCAGAGAAATTTATATGGTCATGACGCGTGCATCTACTGCCAGCCAGCCAGGCGGGCCAGGCCAGGACGAGCTAGGCCAGCACTGCCAGGCCGGCTAGCCCTGCTAAGGCGCCAGCTAAGCGCAAAACTATAAAACAAAGTTAGAGCAGCTGAATGAACGAATGCGGCTACCCTGTACATGAAATGAGCAAAGAATTGTGAGGAAAATAATTCGGAAATTGGGTTCGAGTTTTCTATTCCATAAAGAACGAATCTACTCCGTTTTTTAGCTATCTCTTGTCGATAATAAAAGTAGGCTACAAACCGACTCTCTATGGTCTCATACAACCTTTCTTCAAACCTTTTCAATGTCCTTAGGGTATCAAAACAACTAAAACTAACTACAGCGGCAGATGCCGAGGCGAAAGCTGCTGCGACTGCTGCTCCTGCTGCTGCTGCTGCTGCTGCTGCTGCTGCTGCTGCTGCTGCTGCTGCTGATGCTGATGATGACAATGACAATGACGATGGAGCTAATCCATCCGCATGCTGAGCACGGCAGGACGCCAGCGAAAACGTTTTTCCAAGTCGAATGATTTATCTTACATAGCATGCAGAGGGCACTGGGGAGGCAGCATCTCAGTTCATTCGCTTATTTTGGTGCGCGCCAATTAGCTAGAAGTGAAATGCCAATTGGTATGCTGATACACTGAGCGAAATCTGCAACAATTTATTGAGCTTAGTTTCATTTATTCATAAGTGCCTTCTTGCGACGCTTTGCAATTTTGGCCAGCTCTGCTTCCGTTGGCCGATAGTCGCTGTAGCGCGTTACCCACGCATCAGCCATCCTATAGAACTTCTTGGGATCGTTGACAAATTGATTACTGATCTCTATGCTATACGGATTTTCTGGCTGTGGATCGTTAATTGTCGCAATGAGCACCTGCAGCACCGTATCGATACGCGATGTGGGCTTCCAGTGTTCCGCCTCGAGTATGGGCAAACAGATTTGGCCCCGGTTATTGATATTCGGATGATAGATCTTCGTATTGATGTGCAGGATTGGTGGCCGAAAGGGATAATCTTTGGGAAAATCGATTTCCAGATTAAAGGCGCCCTTGTTATAGGGCGGACTGCTGGGCAACAGCAATGCATTCCACTTGTATATATTATCTTTCTCAGGCTCTAGCAGTTTTAGCTGATCCAGATTTTTATAGTTCATCATCATCATCAGCTCGTTCTGCATGCGCTTCGGCCCATCCATGATGGGCTCGTCCTTCTTCATGGTTGCAGCTTGGTTTTTGTTTCGTTTTGCCCGATTTCAATAAGCGGTTATACAATTTTGTCTATAATATTTCTCTCAGTGTACTGAGAGTGTGGGGAAATTGTGTATTAATGAATGAATAATGCTTAAATAGATTTGACTCATTCAGAGTTAGCTATATATGCCTACTGCTCATTGGCCTCTTCTATACGCTTTAAAGAGTCTGTTAAATTCAAATGTTCAGAGAGACAAAGCAAACGGACTGCACTCATCTCTTGATAATTGAACTCAATGGAATCTTCGACTGCTTCTCCTGCTGCTTCATTCGCATTCATTTGGCCAACTGCAATATACCCTTTGGCTAACCATTTGCAAGGCAGCAGAGAATGGGAAAAAGCATAGAGAGAAGAAAAAAAAATTGAATACAGAAATCCTTTCACATTGACATTAATCCCCGAAATAGCCGCTTAAAAAGACCGCCTGACGTCGACAGGCTCTGACAGCAGCACATTAGGATCAACTGGGAAAAAGCAATGGCACATTGAAAAGGATGAAAGGTTCTCGAACGGCTCATATATGCCGCGACTCCAGCTGCTGCTGCAGCCTTTCACTTGCTCCTCCTTTGCTTGGCTCTGTTACCAAAGCAATTTTTATGTAAGGCGCAAATGTTGCTGCTCTGTCCGAATTACTCTCTCACTCTCCCTCTCTCTCTCCCTCTCTCTCTCTGTCTCTTTTGGTATTTTCAATCTGTGCATTGAATTATGCACATAGTAGGGTCCAGTGGCAAGTCTGCACATTCGAGATTTCTGGCAGTGATTCCATGAACAAGCTATTGGCATGCCTGTGACTGGCCATGTGATGTGATTGCCATTGACATTATAGTTTTCAATTAGGTGAACATCCGAAAATGGACAGAGGACACTTTCTCTGTGCTCTCTCTCCCTCTCTCTCTATCTCTGTAACTGGGACTGCCGCAATTTCTAGCGTATTCCGGATTCATAAATATGTTAAGATTCCCGAAAAAGCATAATAAAACCCATTCAAAAGGAAAGCAAAGCTTTGACACAGAATCTCAGCTTCATCCCCTCCTCGTTTCCACTCCCCCACTCTCCATCTCTGTCACTTCCTTGCGACATCGTCGACTTAGACGTTGCTCTGCTCCGCTCCGATGGGAAGCTTGATAACAAAAACATGAAAATTAAATATCAAAAATATGCGACGCAAACGAAACAGCAACAACAACAAGCTGCTGCTTCTTTGTGCGTGTGTGTAATTATTTATGTTATATGTCATCATCATGTAAATGAAACCAAGGCGAAGAGTGCAGAGACAGACAGAGAGAGAATGAGTGAGGGGGAGAGCGAGGTGAGTTAAGATGAAGGCCATGCAAAGTTGGCCGGGAACGCAGCATGACGTGCGTAACGGGGCGTCTCTGGTATAATTAGGATATGTATACATGTAGGTGTATGTGTATGTGTGTGAGAGTAGGTATGTGTGTGTGTGTGTGTGATGAAAATAAGAAAAAGCTGTTATTGTTAGGTAGTCGAAACTTGAATACCCTCATGGAAGATGTGAAAAATATTGCTACATATAGATTTTATATTCATGTTGTAGGTTGTTTAAGAAGGTATAGATAAAATTAAAAATAATTTATATATATTAGCTAGTAATCCAGATAATATAGTAGTTCTTTAATAGCCTTTTTAATGTAATTTCTGTATAGAAATAGAAGAGAAGGATTTTATAGACTCCCTTTGTGATTTCTAATCAAATTATTATATAATTCAATTCAATGAAACTAAAACAGTTATAAAGGACTAAGGAATACGCTTATAGCCTAAAATTTAAGAATAAATAAATAAAAGTATAATAAACCAGAAGTTACGGTACTCTTTAAGCAGTCCTCATATGCTTACTTAGTTATCTAACTAGTCCGCTTTAAGTGCTGCTCCAGCTCTGCTTCAAAAAAACATAACATTTCGCAACACTAAAAAAGTGCGATTAATCAGTGTTATCGATAACATGTCAGCGCCCAAATGCCTAACCTCAAAAGCAGCGCCAAGATAAATGCGCGTCACGCAGAAAAAAAAACGAAGAAAGAAATGAAAGTGGGGAGTATATGTCTGCCAAGGCGTCTGACAGCGCTGCGGGATGCAAAGGCGTTTGCTGGCCAATCACTGTGACTGTGACTGTGACTGTGACTGCGACGGTGACTGCGAGTGCGACTGTGACTGTGACTGCGTGTGTAGCTGCGAGGGGATTGCTGCTGCTGCTGCTGTTGTTGTTGTCAGTTAATGCCTTTGCTATGGCTGGCATCAACGTATCCGCCATACTTTTAGCATAAATAGCCGGAAGCGGAAATGTAGATGACGCTGAGCTCCCACTCATAGATACATGCGTGTTTACACTGAGAGAAAAAGTGTGAGAAGCTGAAAGAATAACTCGTTTGTCGTTGGGGAAATAATAAAAATGAAATAAATATAAAAATAATGTAAGAGAAAAGTTAAAAATTTGGCCATTTCGATTATTCTTTTTCAGCTTCTTTTTAATAATTTTTTTTGGCTCCTCTTTTTCTTCCAGTGTAGTTGTTAGCATGTGTATGTGGCTTTGGAACGCCTGCAGCTTCAGCTGCGCCTGCTGTCAGTGCCATTCCCAATCTCGATTCGCAGCCCAATTCCTTTTTGCCACCCGGCTCTACCTTACTCTCCTACCTCCCGCCCTCCTCGCGGCGCTTCGCCCCTTCCGTTGGCGTTTCTGTCATTTGTTTAGCTGTCATTGCGGGCGTATTGCCGCTGACAGCTCGTTGGGAGCTGGAAGGCTGATGCTGACGCTGACAGTGGCGATTGGGCTGGCGATTGTGATGCCGATTCCGATACCAATCCAGGCGTTGGCGCCAAGGCGGCCCCACCCCCAACGAAACCAAATGAAAAATCAGGCAAAAATTAGCAGTCGCCGCATTAAATCTAATCTGATCCGATTTTCTATTACCAATTGGCAGATGAGTGGGATGTCTGTGTCTGCTTATGCCTATGTGTATGTGTGTGTGTGTGTAAGTGAGTTATCGCTGCTTTGCTGCGGCTCTAAGCAACTCCAACTCCTCCCTTGTCACGTCTGCATGTGTGCACTTTAATCTTTTTATCGCACTCCAACACTTCAGCAGCTCAGTTTTTGGGCTGGCTTTTGCGCCGCTTGCTCCACTGTGGCGTCCTTTATTAGCGCGAAAATCGTCGCGTGCGACTTTTCCTTTCCCTTTCCTTTTATTTGTTTGTTTGTTGTTGTTGTTTTTTTTTTTTTTTTTTTTGGTTGCTGTGCCCTTCTGTATTTCCATTGCCATTTCCATTTGCGGGCTGTCAACGACCCTTTGTCGGCCTGTTGCTTTCTGGGCTGTTGAAGTCGTGATATATGAAGCGATTAACATTAAAGGTGCCTAATTGATTCGACCAAAGACCAGCTTATTTTATGGAGCTGGGGCAGTGAAGGGCACTGGAGAGCTTAAGCTGAGCCGAAGGGGCAGTACAAAATAAATTTTCATTAAGAAATTATCGCTCGTGTGTTGCTTAAATTTAAATTAATTATATATGGTTTATCATCAAGTAAATGGCGGCATACAAGGACACGTAGCCAACGCCCACGACGCACACACATATACATGCATGCAGCTGCAACAGCAACAGATTATTTATGCCTTCAGTGAACGCATATACCACACCGACGACGACAACGATAAAGGGAGCTGTACGCGGCGCTGCTTGCCACAGAGCTCGTACAATATTAAATTGCATGAAGTAAATAAGAGTAAAGTACACACCAGCGCACACACACACACACACTCTCAGTCTGGGGAGTCCTTGTGCCTATACCGACGGCAGCTTAAAATTTTGTTCAGGGCTACAAAAGCAGCTGTTAATGGAATCACTTTGAAAGCTGAATGAGCTATAAGCTGCGAGCTGTAGGAATATGAGCTGTTGTTATATACTCTATCGTAGCAATATGAGCCATTATTATATACTCTATCAAGCAGTATAAAGAGTATTACGGCGACGTTTAGAGAATGAAAATGTGGCATGTATTGTCTAGTTGAAGAGGCTGTGTAGCGGAACTACTAATAATATAATATGTTAAAGATGAGATGGTAATGTGGCCAGAGAGCTTAAGCTTTAGGATTTTCCGATTTTTTATTTTACCCCAAAATTTTAGGGAATATTAGTTTTGGGAAAATTTATATAAAGGTACTGTTCTTATACAGTAGTACCAGTTTATCATTATTTTCGATAACTCATCCCTTGCTAAGACTACTCTAACAACACATTCTACAAAGTTTTGATGCTGAGGATCTGAAATCCGTTTCAAAAGCCATAAAGCCAGACAGCCACAACCCAGCTAACCCCGCACTTAAATGATCGGCTCTACCTTCAAGAGTATACGTCATAGTGTGCACTTTGGAACTAGTTCGCATTGAGCGAACCGAGCCTCGCTTTGGTGTGCCATGCGTCTTGCTATTGAGTGCGGATTAATCGGGCTCACTTTGTCATAAATAATGCAAACCAAACACTGCGCCGGCATTCAGAGGAGGAGAGCAGCCGGGCTGTGTTTGTGGTGGTGCTGGTGCTCGGTGGCTCAATATGCAGTTAGCTGCGCTCAAACGTGGTGCAATTACTGCAAAGCTACGGCAGGGCCTGACAGCTCCTGCCAGCCATTGCCAGCTAGTGCCAGCTCGAGCCAGCTCGTGTCGGCAATGCCTGGCGTGTTCGTACTTAATGACTTTTTCACGTTATGTGCGTGCGCTGACATTTTCTTGAGGCTTTTTTGGTTGTGGGCTCTGCCACCTGTTTTCACCTGTTGCCTGTTGCCTGCTGACTGCTGCCTGCTGCCTGCTGCATTTAATTGCAAAACAAGTTTGCATGAATTTGCGGCTGCTGGTGATGACAATTTGAGTGCTTGAATAGGATCAGGGACGAGGCCTTGGTCCATGTGGGCCGCAAGCCAACATTATGGTCCACTTTGGCTTCCGGGCTGCGGCTTAGCCGCTTCATAAGCAAGTGCTTTTAAGTAAAGCTCATATTTCTCTGGAGCAAAAAGAAGAAAAATACGAAATAACTTCAAAGCTATCTTCAAAGAAAGAAAAAGCACAAAATAAATCGCTGGCAGCCAAATCGAAGGG